CTCCCTCCCTCCTTCAGATGCTCTCTGCTGCAGAGATTCCGTGGAAATGTGTGGACTCGACACGGGGCGGGGCTACAGTAGAGATCTGGCTGCTGCCAGGTTGGAAAAGAGGGAGTGTGGTGAAAGTGGAGATGGAGGTTTTAAAGACGAGTAAAGCTGGGTGTCGTCAGCTAACCTGGCCTGCCAGACTCGTCCTCTGTCTGTTCTACACAGAGGACGAGTCGGAGAGCACCAAGTGGGGCGGGACTAGCCAGCTCAAAAATTACCGCTCAGAAAAACGGCAGAGATGACCATTTTTTCTCGTGTAGTTTTAGCTGTAATCAGAAATGGCGTCTGGCCACGGCGCAAACGTCTTTCTTCAGGAGAAAGGCTGTTAGCGGCTCTTCTTGTTGTGGTTTTAAAGGCACGTCCAAGTCATTTAGAAGAGAGGAAAGAGCTGCAGCGAACTCCGCTTCAGACGTCGTCCTCGTTGTTTATGAGAAACTGAGCTTTGTAGCGTGTGACGTATGCTGCTAAGCGCTGATTGGCTCAGTTATAATTCTCAGGGGGTGGGGCTATTTGAATGGGAGCATTACCAGGCCCTTTGCTTCCCATAAGGAAGCTTTGGCATGGCTGGCCAGCCGTCATCAGCAAGGCAGTGAAAGTGAATGTTGAATTTCCGAAAGATGTCACCAAGTGGAAGGAAGCAGATAAAGAAGAGAAGGGGCCCTAGGACAGAACCCTGAGGCTACTACCTCCTTACCAGAGCTGTCTTTAAGCGAGTGCAATGACAGTAAAACAGTTGTGAATCGTGCTTAATGCCACGTTTCTGATAGACGTGGTTGCGAGTGGGTGAAGCTACACCTTTGCTGGAACTTTGTCCCCCTGATGCCATGGTGGGGTAGCCTTCATCATCAAAGACACATCCCCCCTCCCTCCGCTCAGATCACAACCTCATCTACCTGAACCCTGAATACACACCCAGGGGGATTTGGGAGCCTCCTCAGAAAATTACTGTGAACGTGTGGATAAGGAAGCAGTAGAAAGGCTGCGGGACTGTTTCCAAACCACAGACTGGGAGACACTCTACAGCGCTCATGGTGATGACCTTGACAGCCTGACCCACTGTGTCTCTGACTATGTTAACTTCTGTGTAGAGAACACAGTCCCAACACGAACCCTGGTTGACCACTGAGCTGAAATCCCTGCTGAACAATAAGAAAGAAGCTTTAATGGCGGGACAAAGAGGAGCAGAGACGAGTCCAGAAGGAGCTCAAATATAAGATCAGCTGGAGAAACAGCTGTGGCAGAATAATGCTTGTGGTGTATGGAGAGGCCTCAGAAACATCACAGGTCACAGTGGGAGGAGTGGTGTCAGTGAGTCTGCTGAAGGGGACCAGAGCTGGGCTTAGGAGCTTAACCTGTTTTTTACCAGATTCTACTACACCCCTTGTCTGAACTTAAGTGAATTTTCCCACTGTGGGATCAATAAAGCCTACTCTTTTCTGAAAGAGGAAATCAGAATAGCATTTTATTATCTTAGGAACACAGCAAAAGTCTATTGTTTCAAAATGTTTCTTATCCGTGCATTTGTGTCGTCGTGCATTGACTCATGTAATGCTCTGCTCTCTGGGTTACCAAAGAAAAGTTTTAGAGGACTGCAGATGGTGCAAAGTGCAGCTGCTCACATTTTTACAAAAACTGGGAGATATGAGCATATTACTCCAGTACTGTCCTCTCTTCCTTGGTTACCTTGCCAGGTTCAAGCAGACTTTAAAGGGGCAAGCGCAGGCTTTTTTTTAAAACACTGAGAGCAAAGATAGGCATATGATCAAATCTTACCATTGGCACCTTCAAGAAACCAAAGAAGTCCTGTCGCCTCCATTCGAATGTCTTTGGGTTACCATGGCCTGGATGACCGAGAACCCTATCGAGATGTCAATTTATCTTAAATTTGAATTTCGTCAACCTGTCTTAGTGATATTGATGTTAGGCCGTATCGCCCAGCGTTCGTTTGTGTGTATTTGTGAGGACAGCTAGTCTCCTTTGGTCTCTGATCACTTCTGGTTTTATTTGATTCACCGGTCTGACTGTCTCATCTTTGCCGTCCAGTCTCTCGGAGAACCAGTCCCTGTTAAAGATGCCTCCATGGTCCAACCCCTGGCTGGTGGGGGCCATCTGCCTCTCCATGGCGCTGCACTTCCTGATCCTTTATGTTGACCCGCTGCCCGTAAGTCCAGCAGGTCCCAGGAACCACCAACGGAGAAATAATCAGAGCAAGAAACTCATTTCCTGTTCTGATGTCTGTGTCCTCAGGTAATTTTCCAAATCCGTCCTCTGTCCTGGACCCAGTGGGTGGTGGTCTTAAAAATGTCTCTTCCTGTCATCTTGATGGACGAAACCCTCAAGTTCCTGGCTCGCAACTACATAGAACCAGGAAGCCAGATCCAGGTGAGGACTCATCAGGTAACACAGTAGGTCCTGTTCTCTGTTTGTCCAACTCTGTCTTCTGGTTTTGTTCTAAAGACATTACAGGAGGAGGAACTGCAGAGGTCAAGGGTCAACACAGGGTTCATTGGTGCAGTGATGTGGAGGCTCCATGAGTCCGTGAGGGGCGTGTCCTGGTCCTTTGTCCTGGTGTCTGCACCGCTGGTGATCTGGATCTTCAGCCTGGACTCGGACATCACCAACATCTTCTGGGAGTGATGGGGACCATGGGGGGGGGGGGGGCTGCATGATGCCAACAGCTGGGTTCTGATGTTCTACAATGTTTGATTATACAGAAGAAAGTTACAGGAAGTTTCAGCAATGAGGACTAAACCTTTAGTTCCGCTGCAGGAGAGATGAACAGCAGCAGGTTCTGTCTAGGTTTTGTTTCTGTTTGGGTCAAAGGTTCTGACGGGTTCTAATGAGGAGGCAGACTGGTTCTCCAGGATCTACAGAGGTCTGGTTCAGTCAGAACTCTACTGAGTTGTCACACCAGAACTAACAGGTTTGGGTTTCAGTTCAGACTGGGTTAGATCTGGTTAAAACCAGTACTCACATGGTTCTGTTACAACTGAGACAGCTCAGTGGACCTTACAGAACGTGGTCTCAGATTCCAGCTGATCTCGGTTCTTTAGCGTTTGTAGGTTCTGAGAAGGGTTGGCTGGCTTGGAACCGGGTCAGGGTCTGGAGCTACAGTCTGTGGAGGAACTAAAGAGTGGTGTGCGGGTTCTCGATGGTTCTGGTGCTCTGAACATCAGAACTTTTTCTCTTGCCAGAAACTGACTAAGTATGTTGTTGCAATAAATGTTTGAATCCCAGAAGGCAGAAGAAACAAACACCTCCTCAGCAGAAATCTCTTATTTTGGTTTTATTTGTAATATTTATGAATGTTGCTTCATTATAGTTCAGAACCTGTTGTTGACCCAGTTTGTTGTTGGAGGACGGCTGGTTTCTCTGTTTTAAATAAACACTAAACTGAAGATTCTGTCTCCCCTGGGTCATCAGTGACATCATGGCGGGTCACAGTAGCCTAGAAATCTAGACCGACCCAGTGGCGGCTGGCCAGTAGAGGGCGATAGGGCGCCGCCCTCCCAGTTTTCCCCAGTGTTTTTAATTTTTATTTAAAAAAATAAAATTAACAATAATCACATATTCTAAGTTAATTGTGTGTTTTGTAACAAAAATAAATCATATATATATATATATATATATATATATATATTGGTCTCTGCCTGTCTCTGCCGAGCGGCGGAGGCTGTAGGCTGTTTTTGAATCGCCCAAACAGGACGAGACCAGCGGTCCAATTGCTGACAAGAAAATCAAAGGGTAGGAATGGGAATGTATCCAATCAGCGTCGACGTTGTTTCAGAAGCATGATGGGCGATGGAGCTACCGCCAAAGGATTCGTTGGTGTTCGGTAGAACTCGGCAGAGTCGTTTTTGGTCGTGATGCAGATGTAACATGGACGCCGCTGGTGACTACAACCAGCATGGATACCGGATCTCAGCAGCCACTGAATTCAGTTCGGTCTCCTCTCCAGTATCCGTTCGAGAGGAGAACTATGGTGGAAAAACTTAATGTCAAAGAGCTTGGACCAGATCAGCCCGACGTTAAGATAAGCCAGCAGGAGAAGGAGAGAGGTAAACTGTACACAAGAGGCTTCTGGGAAGGCTTGGCTAGCTGGATGCAATCACGCTAATGCGTTATTTTGCTTTCCGTGTTTGTTATTCAAAACGGCTGGGACAGATAAGGCATGGATGAGTCAGGAGTTACAGACATGAAACATTTTTCTGAGAAGGTGAAGAAACACGAGTCATCCCGGGCACACATGGACAACAACACGGTGAAGCTAGCCATGCTAGGCAGCAGAGCTAACGTTGCCATGCAGGGAACAACAGCAGCTGGGTGCAGAGGTAAGCTGTACATTACATTTCTGTGAACAAGATAATCAGAATCAGAAATCCTTGGTTGTCCCACAAACCGGGACATTTGTTTAATAACATGTTTAATGTGCAATAACTGTAAAAACTAATTTCAACACACATACTTATTATACATATTTAATCACGTAAATGTGTATTTCATGTAAATTTGTACATACATCAATCTGATTCCATTTTACTTGTTACACTTCTGCTGCAGCAAACAAATTTCCCAGCTTTTGGGACAATTAAACATTTCTGATTCTAAATTAGATGTTTTTACCTCAAATGTAAAAACATCTGATTGAGAATCAGAAATGTTTTATTGTCCCAAAAACTGGGAAATATGACATTTGTAAGAGGATACTGATGACATTATTTCCTATGAAAGTGTTTCCTATGTACTTATCTGTTGTTTTTTATTTATCTACTTTAAAGAGGAACCAGAGACTTTCCTGAGGAACACCATGACACAGGATGGGCTGAATGCTCTTGTCATGCTCTCCATGGGAAAAAAAAAGCTTGTCACAAACATTCCTGACTTCAATAAAAAGCTAATCGAGAGCTTTGCCACTCAGAAGGACAGAAGGGCAAAATTTCTGTACAAATGAGGTATCACACACACACACACACACACACACACACACACACACACACACACACACACACACACACACACACACACACAAATGCATCCACTTGATCTTTGTATAAAGTTGACCTTGGCACAACACTCCAGAAATATTTAACAGTATAAATTTCTGGCATTTTGTCTAAGTAGTGTTTACTACCATTACTGTAACAGTGACCTGCTCATAATTTTTGGTGTTCACTCAAATGTTGAAATTAAACAAAATGTTTTTGTTACTTGCCTCTTGCATTGCCTATTTACCATTTATGGTCGTTATTTTATGTGCAATTTAATGCAGTATTTTTCAACCTTGGTCCGCAAGGCAGCGTGCCAATAGTCAGACACACCTGGATTAATCAGTTTGTCCAATAATGTAAGACAGGAAATAAAAGAGCTGTGCTTAATTCAGGAAATAGTGAAGTTGTGCACAAAGCTCAGAAAGCACAAGTTTGTTTAAAAATAAAAAATAGCACAGCCCCACCAAAAATATTTTTCACCAGCCGCCACTGGACCGACTGTAGCATCGGCTAAAAGATATAGCTCTGCAGATCGGTCTAGCCAGCCTCCGTTGCCTCCGCGGGTCTACCATTGACCCGAACAGTTCTGTGTCTTGCTAATCACAGCACCCTCACATATCTCCCCCAAAGAGTCATTTTGGCAGACAGTGAGTGTGAGACAGCACAACCGTGCAGGCTGCACCACGTCCCGCAGAGGAAAAAACTCAGTCGGGAGCAGAGCAGGCGCGACGGGGTGCGCACCCGCAACCCTAAATCTCAAAATGATGGCGCGGTGGAATGTGTATTCTCACGGCGTTGCTGAAACCACGGGTGGGAGCGAGGAAGGCGGAGCCGCAGCAGGCCAGCAACCGGGCGGTGGCAGGCAGAGACGCAAAACAAACCCATAATCACACCTCATCCCACCAGGAAAAACTCCGTCAGGAGCGGAGCACGTGCGAGCAACAGGGTGCGCATCCGTGGCCTGAAAACCTAAAATGGTGGCGTAGTGAGATTTGCGTTCCGCTGTGCAGGAGGGATGGTTGTGCTTGGCGTGGGAAAACGTGTGTGAGGCAAGGCAGCTTTATTTAAAGAGCACATTTCAATGGACGTGCATTTTGGTCCCGTGCCATTGAGGGATTTATAAACTAGTAGGAGCACTTTGTAGTCTATTCTGTAGTTTACTGGTAACCAGTGTGGAGATCTAAGAACAGGAGTGATGTGCTCTGTCCTCTTGGTTCTTGTTGAGACTCTAGCAGCAACATTCTGAACAAGCTGCAGCTGCTTCACAGCTTTTTTGGGAAGACCAGTTAGGAGACCATAGCAGTAGTCCAGCCTGCTGTAGATGAACACATGAATGAGTTTCTCTAAGTCTGGTCTGGACATGAGACCTCTGACTGTTGACGTTTGATGAAGGTGATAAAACGCTGATTTAGTTACAGCCTTAATATGTGCACAGAAGCTCAGGTCTGAGTCAATAATAACACCAAGATTTCTACCCTGGGTCTTTGTCTTTAGTCCCCTGGAGTCCAGCTGAGCAACAACATCCATCCTATCCTTCTTGTTGCCAAAAACAATAACTTCAATCTTGTCTTTGTTTAGTTGAAGAAAGTTTGACTGCATCCAGACGTTTACTTGTTCTAGGCACTGACAGAGTGAGTCCAGTGGCCGATAGTCACTAGGTGATAGGGCTAGGTATATCTGGGTGTCATCAGCATAGTGAGAACAGCAGAAGGATTATCTGAACCATCTGTAGCTGTGAACCGTAACAGGAATTTGTTCTCAGGGAATGTTTAGTTAAAAAATAATTCATAATCACACACATATCCTGCATAAAGTCTCCAGAGCGGTCGAGTGTTGGTTCTGAACAGAACCCGGGCCAGCTAGACAAGTGAAATGGTGGATAGCTCCACAGGTTTTATGTGGTCTCAATAGTGCTGCAATATTAAGGGTCACACAGCACGTCCGAGCTAATTGGACCGGTGTCTGCTAGGTGGAGGTCCAGGAAGCGCAGACTAAGCAGCAGAGCGCAGATTCGAGTCACACGCTTCAGCAGTCCTGCTAGCAGCGGAGACCGCTACAGAAAATATGGGACACAGTAAATGAGCTGCGTCACAATCCGTGTTTGGAGGCGGGAAAAGCACGCCGAATAACCAGCTTTAGCAAGCAGCAAAGCTAGGTAAGTCTCCTAACGTTGTTCCAGGAAACCAGAGCTGCTGGGAGCCGAGTAATGACTGAAAAGATGCAGCGAAAGTGGACAGCGCTGTGCTGGCCAACAAGCCATTTGACTTAGGCGGCACCAGATGCGGAAACAAAAGGCTTTAGCAACTAGCTAACGAAGTAGCGCTCTCATGGCCGGAAACGGCGTAGAAGAGGGCGGGAGCCCAGGCCTCGGGTCCCAGCAGGGAGCATGGAGGCCTGCCTCCATGATTAACAGTACCGACCCAGGGACCTTGTCCTGTGGATAAGATGAACGGCTCCGCTGGACTTGACACTTTCCAGGAGGCTTCTCTTGTCACGTAAGTCCTAGGGAGCACAAACTGACCGGATTGTAAGACATTTGCCTGAAAAGAATACGTTAGCTCATTTAAACGATAAGGCTGCTTGAAGATGAAAAAAGGAGGCGAGCTATGCTCGCTGTGCCCTTTTATAGAGCCAGGACCCGCTTAGGAGGCGGCATACGCTCTTCAGTGATTGGTTAAGGGGATGGAATTAATCCAGTGGGCGATGGCTTAAAGGGCGGAGCTATACAAAATAGAACCACAGATTCACTGCTGCAGGTGTGGATCTGCAGCCGTGCCCTTCTTAGCGTGTCAGCGGGACGTCCCGAAGGTCCGCTCACCTGTTCACCGCTCAGACGTCCTGATCTTCTACCTTCCTAGATCATCCAGCTGTAACCTGTTTCTGATCATGTCTTTAGTCCCGCTGTAACACTGATGCATCAGCCTCAGACGTCATGGAGCTCAGGTGTTATTAGAACTACCTGTGTGTGTTCACCACCCAGCTTCAGCTCTTCTGTGGTTGGGTCTGACCCACGTTAGTAAATGTAAGTCCTCCATCAGGCTTGTGCCTCTTCTAGTGTCATTTTAAAGGATTTTATTTATTTATTTAACCGTTACTAGATTACCAGCAACAGAAATGCTGCTAAAAACACGCAATTAATTAACTAGACTGAGAGACCATGTAAAGGCTCAGGGACCTTTACAGGTGTTTCTATTAGCTGATTGGGGTCTTGTTAATTATCACACAGTGACATTTTAATAGTCTAGATTAGTATAATGTTTATGTTTGTAGTTCTTCCTGTTAAGAGCTTATTTATTTCAGTTATTCAGTTTTTATTTAAAAAAAAATGGACATTTTATTCTGTTCCAGTCATTAGTCATTTATATTTCACTATTGTAGTCATTTATAGTAAATTAAGTAAGCTTAATTAAGAGGGGAACCCAATTTTTTTTGCATTCTTTAATGAAAAAAGTAACAAAACAGTTATTTTTTCTTGGTAATTTGTTACTTTTATAATCTTGTAACTCGGTACAAGTGAGTTACCTTTTTGACAAAGTAATCAGTAACTATAACTAATTACTTTTTAAAAGTGACGTTCCCAACACTGCTCTGACCTGTTCCTGAATAGAAATCAAAACTAAGAACTGGAACTTCTGCGTGTGTGTGTGTGTGTGTGTGCGTGCGTGCATGTGTGTGTGTGTGCGTGAGAGAGAGAGAGAGAGAGAAGGAGCAGCAGGATGCAGGCAGTCCAGACATGAGTTCCATTTATAGACATGAAACAGGTCCGTGTGTGTGTGTGTGTGTGTGTGTGTGTGTGTGTGTGTGTGTGTGTGTGTGTGTGTGTGTGTGTGTGTGTGTGTGTGTGTGTGTGTGTGTGTGTGTGTGTGTGTGTGTGTGTGTCGAGCAGCAAAGACGAATCCTTGTTCATGACCAGGTTTCTTTCTGCTGAAGGGCTTCCACTAAGGTAAGTGACCTTACATGTTTGAGCCTTTCTCACTAAAACATTTAACATGTTAAGAGCATGTGATTTTGGTCCCAACAGCATGTCATGCTTCTAAATGCAGAGTCAGTCTTCTAAGAAAGGAACTCTGGCCTCAGAGGTCATCTTATTGGTTGTTGCTTTTCTGCATCTTGTACAAGCCACCTTCAGCCATATCCACCAGTAACAAATTCACCAGTAGCCTTTACACCATTACCATCCCCACCATTACCATCTGCACCATTACCATTTACACCAGTACCATCTGCACCATTACCATTTACACCAGTACCATCTGCACCATTACCATTTACACCAGTACCATCTGCACCATTACCATTTACACCAGTACCATCTGCACCATTACCATTTACACCAGTACCATCTCCACCATTACCATTTACACCAGTACCATCTGCACCATTACCATCTCCACCATTACCATCTGCACCATTACCATTTACACCAGTACCATCTCCACCATTACCATTTACACCAGTACCATCTGCACCATTACCATTTACACCAGTACCATCTGCACCATTACCATTTACACCAGTACCATCTGCACCATTACCATTTACACCAGTACCATCTGCACCATTACCGTTTACACCATTACCATCTGCACCATTACCATCTCCACCATTACCATCTGCACCATTACCATTTACACCAGTACCATCTCCACCATTACCATCTGCACCATTACCATTTACACCAGTACCATCTGCACCATTACCATTTACACCAGTACCATCTGCACCATTACCATCTCCACCAGTACCATCTGCACCATTACCATTTACACCAGTACCATCTGCACCATTACCATTTACACCAGTACCATCTGCACCATTACCATTTACACCAGTACCATCTGCACCATTACCATTTACACCAGTACCATCTGCACCATTACCATCTCCACCATTACCATCTGCACCATTACCATTTACACCAGTACCATCTCCACCATTACCATTTACACCAGTACCATCTGCAC